AATCTTCTTTTTTAATATTATATTTAGCATCATAGAGCCACCTTTACAATATTTGTAAAAATTAAATGTGCATAAAAGACAGATCTTTTTAGATTAACAAATTTCTAGAGCATTGTGCTCTGCACTTGAGTTATTTGTTAAAAAGATCATTGGTCCAACTTGTGCTCTACACTCAAAAAAAGCATTTATTAGAAGAATTGTTTTTAATAAAATCAATGCTTTTTTAATTATTATTTCAAACTTATCTAAAATATGAAAAGCCCAAGAAAAAGTGCACCAGTGTATAAAAGTGTTACTGAGGTATTGAGAGAATCAAATGATGCTGATGCATCTATATAACTTAGTTCTTCTGCTTAGAAAATCTTTTCATATATATAATATATAAGATTTGTTACAATACTCAGAATAAATGCTGTTCTAGTATATAAGTTATATTTTTATAGTTAGTAATAAAAATTGTAAATAATAATCAAATTAAAATAAAATAAATAAATAAATAAAAGCAATTTTTTTTTATTAATAATGTTTAAAAATTCTTATTACCTGTAATATGGCTTTTCTGTTTTCTGATTTATCATAATTTTTAACAATAATGTTTAGATACTTAAATATCGATTTCTATTATAGCTTCCAATTGCCTCATCTCTATATTGCCAAAAAGGATTGTATACTTAATCATAATTAGGATTATATACATGATCTGCAAGAATTTTTAGCAGATTTTAGTTATTTGTAATATTTAGATACAATTTATCTTCATGTATATTTAATGCAGAAGAAGGTAAATGTTCTTCTTTAAACAAATTAATTAATTACTCATGCACTTCTTTTTTAACATGTTTAAAGCTTAAAGCTTCAGCAGAGTTAACAACATGATTATGAGTATATATTAGATTGGTTTCTAATAGATAAGTAAATGAAAATTAATAACACTCTAATTATATATAAATTTTTGCAGTACAGTAAGTATTTCTTGCACATGAAGATCAATTATGCTTTATTTCAGTGTTGTCTTGCTTTTTTCACCTCATAACTATGGATACAATGACACTTCTTATAAAAAGAATCTAATTTTCTTGATTTTATAATCTCTTAATCGAAACATAGTTATTTTTATATGAGATTAAAATACTATAATCCAATCAGATGATTCCTCTTTTTTATTAATATTTACAAATGCATCTAACTTAAAATTTGGAATTTTGAAATTTTTTAATATTTGATACACTTGCATTTCCTGAATTAGATATAAATAATTAGATAGAAGTACTTGTTTCAAGGCCTCTGGTCAGGATTGTTGATAGTAAATTTACAACTTGTAAATTATGGTAATTTACTAGGTAATTTACCAAAGGTGTGGTAAATTTACTGTTATATACTTAAGGTTAAATCTGTCTATATAATTTGATTGGCCAAAAAAATTTTTTAATCATCAAATCACATGATTTTATATTGCACAAACATTTCTTAGGAATAACTAAGGGTAAATTTACTAGTAATTTACCAAACAGCCTGGTAAATTTACCAAAAAAGATCAAAAATTATGGTAAACCAACAATCCTGTCTCTGGTAATGAATCTCAAGAAAAATATAGAAATCATCAAAATTAATAATAATGCTATATATAAGTAGAGGTCTGACTCAGTTAAAAAATTTGTATTCAAATATTCATTCATTTAATACTTTAATATTCAAATATTCAGTGGAAATTTTTAAATAAATATTTAAATATTATATATAGTATAAACTAATTTTATACTTTATTAATATTATAATTAAATAGCTAATAGTTAATATATAAAATTAAAAAAGAACCAATTTTAATTATTTAAATAAATATAAAAATACAACTTACTAGTATTTAATTTAATTTTAATTATATTAATTATTAAAAAATAAATATATTAAAAATATTATATTTATATTTTAATTTATAAAAATTTTATATATAAATACTAATAAATATTCAATGAATTATTTAGTGAATAAATTAAAAATTCAAATATTCATTTGGTGAAAAAATCTTATTCAAATATTCAAATATTTAGTAAATATTCAAATATATTATTCATTAGATCAGACCTCTATATATAAGTATAAATTTCACAATTAAATAATAAAATTATATTGTATGTTAAATAAAAAATATATAATAAAAAGTTTATAATATTAGAGCTATAACTTTTCATATTAGTGATTTCATTTTCTATAATTGAGGTTTCGCTTTCCATATTAGAGATTTTCTTTTTATATTTGAGATATTACTTTCTATATTGAGAAATTTTAATTAACTGTTCTGTATACAATATCAATACTTTTCATATAGTATATGAAAAAAATAAATCTATTTGGGTAAAAGCAGCAAAAACACAACTCTATTCAGATAAAAACAGAAAAGAAACAACTAGTTATATGTTATTTGTAATTATACAATAAACGAAGTTTATTAATAATTACTTCTAGTTTATTAATTATGCAATTAATCAGTTGGGATCAGAAGGACCTCAGACATCTTCAATATAGGCTATAACTAATCTGCATAAATTTTGGGGTTTTTGCTATCTCTAAAATTAAATAAATTTGCTAAAAATTTAATTATAATATATAAATTTTATAGTAATTTGCTAAAAATTAAATTATCACATCTATTTATATAAACAAAATAATATATATGTATTTTTGTATGCTGAACAAGTTTACCTAGAGTATAAAGTTAAAATTAATTAGTAAAATTTTGAGAATCATGGTATTTTTTAGAATTTTTATTAATAAAATTATACAAAATATTAAGATTCTCAAAATTTTACTAATTGATTATAACTTTAACTCTAATAAACCTTGTTCAGCACACAAAAATACATTATATTAGTATATTTAATTTTATATTTTCTGAAAATTTAAGAAAGATGCTTTATTTTGAATATTTTGATCAAATATCCAAAATTAAGCATCTTCTCTTAACTTTTAAAAATTATAAAATTAAATATGCCGGCATAATATATTCTTGTGTGCTGAATAAGTTTACTTAGAGCATAAAAATAGAATCAATTAGTAAAACTTTGAGAATCTTAATATTTTATATAATTTTATTAATAAAAATTCTAAAAAATACTATTATTTTTAGAATTTTACTAATTGTTTATAACTTTATGCTCTAATAACTCTTGTCCAGCACACAACAATACATTATTCTGGCATATTTAATTTTATATTTACTGAAAATTTAAGAAAATATGCTTAATTTTGGATATTTTGATCAAAATATCCAAAATTAAGCATTCTCTTAAATTTTTAGGAAATGTAAAATTAAATATACTGACATAATATATTTTTGTGTGCTAAACAAGGTTTATTAGAGCATAAAATTATAAAATTTTGAGAATATTAATATTTTATATAATTTTATTAATAAAAATACTAAAAATGCTATGTTTCTCAAATGTTTACTAGTTAATTCTAACTTTATGTTCTAAGTAAACTTGTTCAGCACATAAAAATACACTATAATAGTATATTTAATTTTATATTTCTTGAAAGTTCAAGAAAAGATGTATAATCTTGGATTTTTGATCAAAAAATCTAAAATTAAGTATCTTCTCTTGAATTTTGAAAAATCATAGTAGTTTAAAAAACAAAATGGTTTATTTTTGAGTATAATTCTTCTAAAATGCAGATAATTTGCTAAAATAAAATATAACATACATAAAATTGATGTAATTTTGACAAAATACTTAATTATAACCTTTTATTAAAATTATTATTAATTTGCTAAAACTAAAAATCAGACTTTAGGACAAAATTTTAACAATTTGCTAAAGTAAAAGTATGATCTATATGAGAGATGTCCAGGGTCCTGATACAGTTCTATAACCGACAGTAGAGTAAAGGTTTGGCAGATAATTAATATTATCAGCATAACCTGTCACAGATTTGGAATATGCTTGACTAAACCATGTAATGCTAATTATCATGTGCTATTACTTATAAAAAATCAAAATAGATGTTGATTTTTATATATTGTACCATGTGACAATTAGCATCACATGGTTTAGTCAGGCAGGCATTACTAGTTGTGATCAAGTTAAAAATCTTCAAAGTTTTGCTATAGCTAAAAAATTTTTTATTATGCTTAAAAGTTTATAACAAAAAAAATTTCTATAATCAAAAGCTTTGCAAACAAAGATAAATAGAGAACTATTAAAAATATACTACAATAATTCTTGTCTTCAATAAAGTGATTAGATTGATAAAATGAAATGTTAATTACTATGTAGAATCTGTGTTGGTAGACCACTTCAAAATCAATTGGACAAACTTTGAATTAGAAGGATATTTTTTTTACGATTATTATTTTCATAGTCATATATATTTATGTACATATATTGTAAAGGGCCTGGGTGTTTACAATTCAAATTTTTTTTATATATTGTTATTTTTGTCTATTATTATTATGTTATTATTATTATTATTTTTATTACAAAGTTGAACAGTATATATTACTAAAGTAGGAATTTCATATATAAGGCAATTTGTCATAAGACAAATTTGCCATGGGCAATTTGCTGCAAGGCAAATCACCACAAGACAATTTTGTCCCTAGTCATCTAAGCCTGGTACAATTTCATACCAGATCAATACTGTTATTTTAAATTTATCAAAAATAGAATATATTATAATTGAAGAAGCTAGTAAAAGACATTTATATAGAATCTATTATTCAAACATTAAAGTTTCGTTTCAATTACCCCTAATAAATAAAATTTGCATAGAGTTAGTAGTCTAAATATGTAATCCAGAAGTAGAGCCTCATGATGTAATCTAGAGCTCTATTCGATCCTAATAACTCGAACCAAGTCTTCCATGCCTCTTTCATGCCTTCCACTATTAGGGTTGGTAGAGTTTAGTAGTTTAGTGTGTTGGTTTGATTAGTTTTATTGATTGTTGATATCTGTGAGACCCATATTTAGAGATTTCGGATCAGTTTTCACATTTACACTTGGTTAGTAACTTAATGGTGCCATAAAAAATCAGCAGTCATGTGATGATTATCATGCATAATCGAATTTTATTGGCTAATATAAATACGTAATACAGAAAAAATTTTTTTGATCGAAGTTTATAAATTTAACTAAATCACTAAAAAAAAAATCTATAATATAATAAGTAAATTTGTTATGAATATACTATTTTACTTTAACCAAAATGCTAGTTTTCAACTTTTTGATGGCTTCCAAGTTGGCTGTTAAGCTCTGGCATTTAATGCTTCATTATAGGCCTGAGCTTCCTCTAACAAATTTTGACTAAGTTTTTTATATTCGTTATAAAAGTTATCATTTTCAATATTTTGTTTGACAATTAGTATTAAGAATTCAAACATTTTTTTATCTAGTACTAACTCAGCCTTTCGCTTTTCAATGATATTGAATCGGATATGAAGATTTAATCTATTTTCACTAGCCATTTCAGATACAATATTTGAACTACTTGAAGGATCTTGAATGATATTTGAACTGTTTAAATAACTTGGTGAAATATCAGTCCATGGATTGTTAATTAGGTGAATTTTTGAAACTTTATTATCTCCAAAATAGATGAATGGGTAGTCATGTCGACGAATTATATTCTGAAAATTTGGAAAAAAATCTGAATTATTTGCTGTATAGGTTTGTATCAAGTGTTTGCATATTATATATGGATTATTTATAAATTCCGGGCAAGAACAAATCTATTTATTAACATCTACATAATATTTTTCAAGAAATTCAATATCTTTTCAAGGCTTTCCTTCCAAATACTTTTAAATCTGGCCCACCAAGATGGATATGTGCACTTATTATTATAATACCTTTGCCAAGTATTTATCATATCAGGAACTAGTTTGTTTGTTATAATATAATTTAGATGATCAAGGCGAGGTTTATTATATTGATATTTGTAATTGTGCTTGAGAACTCACTAATGAGATTCAATGATCATTGAAGTTCTTGCTATAGGTATAGTATTTGGATAGGAAGATTGAGCAAAAATTTTCTAATTTTTACTATCATACCAATTTGCCCATAAATATGCCCATAAATTAATAAGATTTTTTTGTTTACAGTAACAATAAACTTCTGAAATGCTTTGATAATATATTTCATTAGAGGTGAGAAACATATTTACATCTACTGGTATTAGAGGATTAAGTAGTATATGTTTTTTTATCATTTTTTTAACATCATTTATATTTTCTGTAGAGTATATTGGGTTTTGCTTTCCTGTAGAAAGCCAATTCGAATCAATGAAAGAAAATTGTTTATTTGCCTCTTTTGCTTTATGAACTGAATAATGTGAAGTTTTATGATTTCTTTCTTTCATTTTTCGTTCAATAGCACGTTCAATATGCCATAGGCACAATTGAATTTTCACTTTCTGAGACCATGCTTGTTCTACTGCAGATATTTGTCCAATATCTTTGTTAAGAAGAATAAAAGAAGGTAGGATACCTTCTTTTTTAATAAGTTGAAAGAATTCTGCAAGAGTCTGGGTTCGATTATTAATGTTATTTATAGAGTCTTGTAGACAATTTTCTGATGCTGTAAATGTATCAAGATACAAATAAGCAAGTGGCGTCCTGAAACCCCCACAGTTAACAATTAAGGTAAATAATTCGAATTTTTCTTGATTTGTCTTGAATGTGGAATCAAGGATAAGTTCATTAATATTTTCTTTTAAAATTTGGTTCATAAATAGTGTAAAAAAACCAATTGCTTTAACGAAATTATTTTCAAAATAGAAAAATAATTTATAGCCTTTATTAATTAAATTCTGGCATTGCATAAAATCCTTTGTTGATATGACTTGATTTTTTATATTTGAAATATATTGTCCACTAAAAAGCTTTAGCACCCAATAATATATTTGATAGTAAGTATGGATCGTTGGGTTTATAAGCTTTTTAACTGATAGCCGTTTGTAAAACTCTATTACATGAAGATTTTGATTTATATGTAGTTTAATCACTTCTTGAGATAATTTAATTGTATTATGAGTTGGTTGTTCATGAGCTACTGTATGTATAACTGACAATATAACTTTTTTTGAAGGAATATTAAGCTTAATTGTAATATTCCATTGCAGGAAAATCTTTCAATAGCTAGCCGCACTTCACTAATTTGTTTTGTAAGTTTATTATCAGAGTATTTATGTTGGTATTCAATTCTTTGGGAACAGATTAAATAAGCTGTTGCACATCTATAAGGTTGATTATTTTTTTATTTATGTATAAGTTTTTTAATTCCCAATAGTATCTTGTTCCAGCTTTAATTAAAACAAGTAAAGTATCTATAATAAACCAAAAACTTTGACCATTATTTTGTTCTTTTTCACTAGATAAAGCTTCTTCGATAAACTGATTATTTAATTCAATAACAGCAGAAAATTTAACACATTCATTCTCATCATTATCTAGAAAATATGCAGCTACTAGTTCTTTGACATCACCCATTTTATAAATTAGACTTTCATCCTCTTCTGATGGAGTTGAATCAGGAGTGCTCTCAAGTAGTAGATAAATTGACTGGTCTTGTATTATACTTTCAATAACTGGATTTTTACTTGATGAGCTTTGTTTCTTCTGGTCAGAACAACAGTTGCATGTTGCATTTAAACTTAGTTTTGTACCAACATATCTTATAAATTCATTGATTCCTCCACAATGTGTATAGGTAGTTTCAGATAAGTTATTTGTATCTAAAAATTATTATAAAAATTTATTCGAACATTTACTATATTTTTAATTATTTTTAGATCTAATATCAAATTTAAAGAACATACTATTAAGATTAGCATTTGATTGATCCATCGTAGTGTACAGTATAGAAATAATAAGATAAACTAAGAAATGATTCTATTTATTTTTTAAATCACAGTTAATACACTGAGCGAGAATAATACAATAGACAATTTAGATCTGTCATAAATGAGTAAGTATTGAGATTGTAAGATTTAATTTTATTCAATTACAAAACTATATTAGAGATCGCAAAGTATTGAATTCTAAAAATTAGTAAGGGCTTTTACAATTTATATACTATTTACGATGTTATTAAATTCTAAATATCATAAGCAGTTATTTATATATACTGTATATATTTTTCTAATTATTAATAGCGATCAATTCTAAGTTTTTAATTTATATATTTTTCTGGTTATTAATAGTAATCGATTCTAAGTTTTTAACTTATATATTTTATTAGACTCAAACTGCTATTTAACAATTGGTTATATCAAACATTTTCTTCCTATTCGATCATTATTAATTTATAAGTCAATATAATAGTAGACAGTATTCTGAAATATAAAGCTATAATAGTTTTTAATAAATTTTTAGAACATTAAGGATTTATTTTGCAATTAAATATACATATTTATAAATAGAGAATTTAAAATTAAAGATTTAGCATCTGATTTCAAATAAAATATACAATGCATTTGTTTTAAACAGTGATTCTTAAACTTTTATGAATTTATATTCATATACTTCTTTTAATTTCTAATTTCATATTTTCAAAACATAAATGTAATTTTTTAAACTTGTGCTTGAAACCTTCTTAATATATACTAATTATATATGTGTTGAAGTTGTATACATGTTATAAACAATTTTATCTATATATGTGTTAGGAAAATATCTGATTTATCAAAATTTAAATATTACATATATGCAGTGCTCTTCATATGCATATTTAATTTCAGGAAGGATAATAATACGTATATATAAAATTTTATGATTTAGTATAAACTAACTGCGGTTTTTGTTATAAATGTTTTATTTGATTCAAATATACTTTTTAAAAGATTTATCAATATATAGTATAAATAGTGTTTAACTTAATTTTGACTAGTTGAAATTCTTTGAATTTAATTATATGTAAACTACTCTCGTTATAATAAAAAAATTCATTGAATTTGGCTTGGTGGGTCTTTACTCAAAATTTTAAAAAAATCCAAAACGTCTCTAAATAAAAGTTGTTCCAAATTATTATTAAAATTTGAACGAAGATATCTCGACACTAGGGATGGTAAAAAAACGTTTTAAAACGTTTTTTATATGTTTTTAATTGTTTTAATAAAAGTTTTAAAACATCGAAGCTGATATTAAAATTTAAAGTGACACTTAGTCGGAGTTTAAAACTCCGATCAAGCCCCGAAAATTTGAGGTAACACAAATTCGGAAGTCAAATTTTCGCAACACTTGGTCGGAGTTTAAAAATAAATTATTACACTTTGACCAGTAAATTTTGATTAAAAAACATTTTAAAACATTTTAAACAATTAAAAATCAAACAATCGAGTTTTTTAAGATCATGTTTTAAAACATTTGCCATCCCTACTCGACACCCACCAATCCAAATCCGATGAACCTTTTTTTATTCGCATTCTACAAATCTGTAGAATTCAAATAAAAAAAAATTCATTGAATTTGGCTTGGTGGGTGTTGAGATATCTTCACTCAAAATTTAAAAAAATCCAAAACGTTTGTCAAATAAGAGTTGTACCAAATTGTTATTAAACTTTGAGCGAAGATATCTCGACACCCACCAAGCCAAATCCGATGAACTTTTTTTTATTTGAATTCTACAAATCTGTAGAATTTAAAAAAAAAAAACGTTTATCGAATTTGGCTTGATAGTTGTCAAGATATCTCTACTCAAAGTTTTAAAAAATTCAAAACGTCTATTAAAAAGAAGAGCTGCGCCGAATGTTTTCTTAAACGTTGTACAAAGATATCTCGACACCCACCAAGCCAAATTAAATAAACTTTATTTTATTTAAATTCTACAAATACCTAGAATTTAAATAAAAAAAAGTTTATTGAATTTGGCTTGGTGGGTGTCGAGATATCTTTGCATAAAGTTTAAGAAAAAGTTCGGCGCAGCTCTTCTTTTTAATAGACGTTTTGAATTTTTAAAACTTTGGGTAGAGATATCTTGACAACTATCAAGCCAAATTCGATAAACGTTTTTTTTTTTTTTTTGAATTCTACAGATTTGTAGAATTCAAATAAAAAAAAGTTCATCGGATTTGGCTTGGTGGGTGTCGAGATATCTTTGCTCAAAGTTTAATAACAATTTGGTACAACTCTTATTTTGACAAACGTTTTGGATTTTTTTAAAATTTTGAGTAAAGATATTTCGACACCCGCCAAGCCAAATTCAATGAATTTTTTTATTTGAATTCTACAGATTTGTAGAATTCGAATAAAAAAAGGTTCATCGGATTTGGATTGGTGGGTGTCGAGATATCTTCGTTCAAAGTTTAATAATAATTTGGTACAACTTTTATTTAAAGACGTTTTAGATTTTTTTAAAATTTTGAGTAAAGATATCTCAACACCCCAAGCAAAATTCAATGGATTTTTTTTTATTTGAATTCTAAAGATTTGTAGAATTTGAATAAAAAAACGTTCATTGAATTTAACTTAGTAGTTGTTAATATACTATCGCTTAAAGTTTATTATGATTCATTATTTTATTTAATAAAACTCGGCCAATAAAATTCGTTTATGCATGATGATCTTCACGTGACTGCCGATTTTTTATGGCACCACTAAGTTGGTGGTGACTGTGAAATCGAACTTCTCAAACCACTTGAACCAAAGGACTTTTGAAGAACCCTGACTGTGAGATTCAGGCAAACTCACCATTCTAATTAACCCAAAGCTATGGGATTCAAAAATCCACAACCGAAGATATTATTATTAAGAAGCCCAACTGTGTAATAAGAACATCTCAAAACACCCAAACTAATATTCAATATTTAGAAAAACTAGTTAAAGGACAGTAAAGAATAATCTGTCATATCACACCAAATCAAATATTCCAAGATATACATCTTTGAAAAGAGAATAAATTCGAAGAAGTTCTCAAACAGAAGTATGACGTTTCAATTATAACATAACGAACATAGCACTTTTATGTGCCCAGGAATATAGAGATATAACATAAACGAATATAGCACTTTTATATGCCCAGGAATACAGAGATTTGAAAGAAAATGTGATAGTTTATTTCAAGCCCTTACCAATATACAAGCTGCTGAGGTTCAAGGAATCATAAATAAAGCCTTCAGAAGTGAGTATATTGATGAAGCGCAGATTCCTTGGGCCTTAGAGGACTTCATAGATTATAAGAGTGACAAAGAAGTACTGATCATATACTTACCTTCATATATCCAAGTGCCGCCAGCTACGAATAAGAAAGACCCCTTCCAAGTAACTCCTACTGTGAAAGTTTCTACATTGAAGTCACAGTATAAGAAGAATCCGGACTAGGACTGTTAATAGGTCCGTCCGGTCCGTCTTGGTCCAAAGACCGACGGTCTTTTAAAAAGTTGAACTGGACCGCGGTCCAGGACCAATTAGGACTGATCAGTATGAGATTGGATGGACCGATTATTATACTAATTAAATGCCACATAAATTGCACCAACATGTTAATTATTATGTATTATTACACGTTATTATTATAGACTCCATTCAAATTATTAATCTATTACTCGCTTAATTGCATTAAAGCTACCTCTAACCAAAAGCCTGTCTACTATTATTAGTGATGCAATGTATGAATTTTGAACCCTGCACTGTAAGTAAATCTATACAATCATTTTAGTTAAAAATATTGGATTTGTATATCTAATTCTTAAAGAAAACCTATTATTATAATTAAGAAAAAATCTGATTTAAATTTTTTAAATTTATTATCATTGTCTAAGATTTACTGTATATTTACAATAGTGCTAATAATCCAAACCCAATAAGTTACAAAAAATTAAGCTATATATGTTCGTTACAATGACTTAATACTAACTATATTAGTACTAATAGTCTTTTTGGCCTGACTTATAAAGACTAGACTGGCCACAGACTGCAGGACTTGCGGTTTTATTCGAATTGATTAACCGCCCCCTACACCTGATTTCCAAATTTAGACCAATTATTTGCTTAACCTATGACTTTATGTCTAGTGCTTGGCAAAATCAAATAAAACTTGATTTTCAAGTTTTTGAATTTATCGATTTACAGTATTGTGCTTTAATTACAAAATCTATTTTTACTCTAGTCTGACTTTAAACTTCATGATAAGTTATGCGAAGTCTAAAGTAAGTTCAGATACCTATTAGATTTATATATTTACTAAAAATTTATTTTGTATTTAATGCCCAATTTTATAAATTGATAAATTCAAAAACTTGAAAATCAAGTTTTTGTTTATTTTGCCGTGTGCTATTTATGTTAGATATTTCATTTATTGTGTATATGTTAAATATAACAAAAAATTGCAGAATCATATTACTATTATATCTATAATTTACCTATAACAATGATTTAATAATAACTGCTATTAGGGCCGACGGTCCTTTCGGTTCGTCCCAGACAGGACCAGTGGTCCGTCGGTTTGAGTCAGACCACTTAACAGCCCTAATCCAGACTAGAGTTGGCTCTGTAACCCTTTGTGCCAAAATCCGAAAGTTTCGGGTTTCGGATTATAGCTTCCGAAACCTTATCCGAAACTCGAAACCTCATTTGAAACCCCGAAACTGCAGAACTTAAATTTTCATACTGTATTAGACCTAGAGATGGGCAAATCGCAATTTTTACAAAAATTCCGTGCATCACACGCAGATCACGTGCGTGATACGAATCACGCGCGGGATTGGATCACAAATCTGCGGGTTTCTAATTTTTTGTATCCAATAAAAAAAGATCAAATTTATTGTTCTACCGGTGGGCATTGTTTCGAATTTCGATCCAAATTAAGCTTAATTCGGGTCAAAATTCGATATTTCAAGAATTTACGGTGAATTCGTTAAAGCAGGCCAAATATTATATTAATGCCAGTCAGATTATATGGTAATGCCGGTCAGATAATTTTATATTAAAAATCCCGCGCGTGATGCGCGGGATTACGTGCGGGATCATGCGCGGATCACGCGCGTACCCATCTCTAATTAGGCATGCAAACAAATAAAATTGCTTTTCGTTACCCAGCAGAGTAACTTTTTTAGAAAAGTTACAGATGTTCTCATAAATTCTGGGACAACAAAAAATCTCTGATGGCCGAACTTGGAAACTTATTGAATTCGGTCATCAGAAATATTTTGTTGTTCCAGAATTTATGAGAACAGCTGTAAAACTCTTCTATGTAAAATTTTATTTTTGTATGAAAAAAAAATTTATAAAAATTTTTTTATATAAAAAAGTTTTTTAAAATTATTCATCGCAATGCATCACCCTATAATTGAATAAAAACAAAACAAACAACAAGCGGGATAAGCTTAGGTTAAGATTCGGGTAGAGAAATAATTAGAAAATCTTTTAAATTCGCAAGAAATTTTTTTCGTTATGATAAAAAGGGAGTTTCATGGGCAAATTAAGAGTTAAAACGATTTTTTAAAAATCGTAATCACTTTGATTTTAATATTACACTTTATCATACATTCTGATTGGTCAACTAGGGTTTTGGAGTTTCGGATTATAGTTTCGGGAATTTCGGGTTTCAGGTTTTGGTTTTTTTAAAAAAATCTGAAACTAGTTTTGGATTAGAACCTTACCGAAACTAGTTTCAGGTAGGTTTCGTTTCGAGACCAACTCTAATCCAGACCCTAATATTTCTAATGCTTATTGCATTTCAGAAGAGATAGCTGGTGATAAAATTGACTTGGAGATCGTTCAAGAACTCTTAAATAGAAAGCTTGAAGCTAATAAACACATACAAGATAGAAGCCATATTTCAGAAGAAATAACCTGTTTCAATAGAACAAATAACCTTGGTTACTGTTATCGAAGTTGAAAAGAACAAAGACTAGGCATTTATTTACTATTAAAAATCAGCTGAAATAGGTGATTCTGATGGAATATATAATATTGGAAGTTGTTACCAAACAGGAATTGGAGTTGAAAAAGACAAAAAGAAGCCATTTGATTATTATAAAAAATCAACTGAGATGAGTGATACTGGTGATATGCTCGCCATTGATTGTTGTTAGGCCACGCAAAATTAATTTTTCATTTTGCATTACATGGATTTCAAAATCAACGGTCGGCGGTCGGATTTTTTTTTTAATTCTACAGTAAATAATAGGCTCATATTCACATTTAAGGTCACGCATAGTTAATTTTTCACTTTACATAACATGAAATCAGAAAATTGTGTCGGCAATTGAATTTTTTTTTTATTAATTCTATTGGACAATTCCGGAAAAATAAGGCGATGTTGGAATAATTTATGTGGGAAAATTAAATGGCAAAAATAGAACAATTGACACAATTGGAACCTAAAAAAAAAAAAGAAAAATTCGAAAAATTGAAAAAATGGGTCGGCGGGTAATGTAACCCGAAAATTAACTTTGTGTGGCCTTATTGGTAAAATTAAATCACTTATCTTTGCATTACAAAAAAAACTTTAAAAACATTAGGACGAATTGTGGAACTTCTTAAAGCTCATTTGGTAATAATTAATTTATAAAAACTTTCAGCTAGACAATTGAGTTCCTAAATTATTTCAGATTTGCTTAATTAAGTAAAGCTATTCAATATTACTAGTAGAAACTGGACTCGAGTCAGCTCGTAGCTTAAAAAACATAGCCTTGACTCGAATTAATTCAAGTTAAGGCTATGTTTTTTAAGCCTCGAGTCCAGTCTCTAATTTCTAGTATATAGGATGAAGGTATGAATAGTTAATATTTAAATTAAGTCACGTGTTTCATCATAACGTCCGATCGAAAATTCGTGCCCCTGAAAATTGGTATTGAAAAAAAATTTTATAAAAAAAATTAATATTTTATAAATTCAAAAGTTAGATTATTATTCCTCCTATTTATATGACCTTAACACTGAAATAGCTAATAACTTCTGTAATAAAATTATTTATTGCACATAACTCATGATAAATGCATGATAATTCTAATATAAATTAACCGTATATTATGATTACCAAAATAACGAGTAAGATCTGTAAATGAATTATTCACAATAAAAACTCATAGCAATTTCAATGCAAACTAACTCAAACTTAACTGCATATTATGGTTATTGGAAAGTGGATAAATTCAGTAACAGGGATTTTGTTTACAATAACTCATGATAAAATCATTATACAGTATTAAAGATATTGTGAAATTATTATAAGTTTATGCATAACTATAATCAACTTATCTTACATTCTTTTTTAAAATTAAGAGAGCTCTAGAAATCGTGCACATAGTATTCAGTAATATCTATTATATCATAGGTTCATCCATCCTTGAATTCTTAAAATTAGCTGAAATTAAATTTATTAATTTAAATATACAAATTATATTCATTATAGTAAATGTTTCATTTCATAATAAATTTTTTGTATTAGATTTTTATGCAAAAGATTATCATTTGCTACTAAGTTTCCTTGTGTAATTCGTTGTGAAATTTTAATTATTCTTGCCCCTAATCAATAAGCAGGAAGTTTAATATTTAATTAATGGAAAATTATTTAATGGTCACGTGAGTTTGTTATTTGACCCACATTTTTGCAATACGAAAATGTGTACCAGTGACAACCTAATTCGGCAAGTCAGTCACTAATCAAATTGAGGTCTTGTGTAATCTATATTTGGCTTAGTCAAAGAGGTGTTTAGATTTGGCGAGTGGGTAATTTTAGACGTAGGTATAACTTCTACAATTTATGTTTGGACTGGTTTATGAAACACTAACACTTATATTATCGATTTACAATATTTCTAACAAACTACGGATTGAGTTCTTCCACTAAGACCTCAAACTGAAACACAGCCTAACCACAGATTCCACAGTCCGTTGGGAACCTGAAAAACAACCACAACTGTTCACAGTATGTTGGAAAAGTTGGAAAAAACCACGGCAGTCCTCAGTCTGTCGAGAATCAACTAGAAAGACAAAGTCATGTGAGCAAGTTGAGTATTAAGCAAAGATCTTTCACTATGCCACTTAGTGATTGATCAGGGTAAGATTATTTTGTATAGCGGGTTATTATTTAGATGCTTAGGTTTATTTAGGTCAATTAGAACAATTGGGTAATTTTTATTTGGAAACAATAGTTGTAAGCAAATGGAACTTATTGTTCTCAGAACCTTTACGGCCTTTATTTATAATGAAATATTTTGGTACTATAATAATTCAATAAATTCAATAAATCCAACAAATCTAACAAATGTAGCAAATTCAATATATTCAATAAATCCAACAAATTCAACAAATTCGATAAATACGACAAATATGACAAATCCAACAAATACGATAAATTTAATAAATTATATAAATTGAATAAATGCAATAAATTGTACTTGACTCCATAATCCTGGGTCATACTTTGGCCACAGTAGTTAGGTCAGATTCTGGGGCTCACGCCAGGTTGCTGCTCCAGATAATCACGTGATAGCCAGAATAAATATTCAGAAAATTATTGAAGTTTGATTTAGCAGTTATTTCTTTTTATTAATTATGTACTTTATGCAAATATTACAATGCATGATAATATGTATACATTTGTAAATATTTAAAAACTTTACATCATAATCAACTTTGTTTGCTCGTGTTAATGTTTTTCAATAAAATACTTTTTTTTTGGAAGTTTTTCTTTTTTTATATGGTTTAATTATAGTCAAATCGACATTTTACATTTCTTTATTTGTTATACCCAACTTTTTGCTCCACTTCATAATGATTCAGCCTTTATGGTAGAATTTTGTTGATAGAGATAAGCAGCCAGTTTTTCTAATAATAAAGATTCAGCTTTTTTCGTGATCTTTCTTAGCCACATAGTGGTCTTTGACATTTCTTGAAATTCGCTTAACCAATTAAAAGCTTCTTCTTTGCTGTTAAAATCTACATATAAATCCACTTTAAGCTGCCCAATATTTATTTTCAGGATTTAGCCATTAGTTCAAATTAATTATGACTTTTTATTTTATAAGCATTATTAGATAAGTATTTTTTGGAGTGGAGTAGGTTAATCAGACAAGTTGAACGAATCGACTTCATTATTATTATTGTTTTATTTTTCACATGAAACAATATATAAAGCTAATATGAAGCAAAGTATAAAGTGAGTATGAAGCAAAATATGAAGCAAAATATAAACTGAAGTACGAAGCAAATTATAAAACTATAAAGCGAAATGTGAAGCAAAATATGAAGCAAAATATAAAGCAAATTGTGAAGCAAAATATAAAACGAAGTATGAATTGAATTATAAAGCAAAATATAAAGCAAAATATAAAGCAAAATATAAAACAAGATATAAAGCAGACTATAAACGAAGTATGAAGCGAAATATAAACGAAATATGAAGCGAATTAATAAAGAAAATAGGTCACTTTATAATATCGATAATTACTATTGTTTATTATTAATAAATCAATGATATCATTAATGATCGTTTGGATTGATTTCCGGACAATCACATGATCATCCGGAGCACAACCCGGTACGTACGTACGTATGAATTTTCAATTTGCATAAGAATTGTCAGCCGACGTAAGAATTCTTCATTATTCATAGTGTAGATAGATTATTGAAAAAATTAAGAATTGAAGTAGACAATAGGCATCGGCTTTTTCTATATAAAATAAAATTTTAAAAGAACTAACATAAAGCAAATTATCAGTTTGGGGTTTTCAGTATTGGTTTAGAATTTCAATACAACTTTTTTACTGCAATACGTACGTACCGGTTCCAAACTCTATGTTACACAGATCAAATTTTGGATCGTCATTTTGTCTTACTCATATGATAACGATAAGGTTTCACCACTTTTTTTTTTTTTTTTATCTATATATATAGCGATAAATTTTGACATTAATACGTACGTATTATTAATTCCTATTTTTTAAAAAAAATGAATAAGTTGCCGAATGAATGTTTACACGAAATATTTGATAACTTTCAGAATCACAAAGATTATAAAAATTTATTTTCATACCTTCTTGTAAACCGTCGATGGTGTAGAATTATTGTACCAATATTATGGAGCAGACCCATAGATTATTCCCACGATAAAAGACTCATAAGAATATATCTTTTAGCATTAAACGCTAAAGAACAATCACTGCTGATCCCTTTTAAAATCGTTCTTCCAAACTATCCAAAGCCACTATTTGAGTATCCAAGTTATACTACGTTTGTAAGCGAATATTTGATCTTTGGTGTTGAAAATTGGCTTGTTAATGAGCGATATGGAGCTAATGAATCTCTTGGATCGCGTTTAACTACTTCTAATAAAGATTTGGTCGCAAGAGCTGTTGAATTTTCTTTAGTTACAATGTTTCTACGAACAAGTAAAAATCTTCAAGAATTATCACTTTGGGAAACTAATATTAATAAAGAAATCTTTGAAAATCTTTGTACAAATACTACTATAATCTATTTATCATTCGACGATATTCATTTTAATTCTGAGGAAATAGATAATCTAATAGAAGTTATTAGCAAAAACTCTACGATGACTTCATTAAAACTTTCAAATAATAGTCTTGGTTTTGAGGAAGTGAAAGCACTAGCAGAGGCCATTCATAAGAATACTACACTAACGTCTTTGCAATTTCATAAAACTCGGTCTGATTTAAGGTGCTTAGAACCATTATTAAAGGGTCTTTATAAAAATTCAACTTTGACTTCTCTAGACCTCGACAATAATTATATTGGATTTCAAGGAGTGAAATTATTAGCAAAAGCTCTTTGCATAAATACTACTTTAACTTATTTAGATCTTTCTGATAACGAACTTGGGTCTGAGGAAGCGAAAGTTCTAGCAGGAGCGCTTTGTGCTAATACTACTCTGATTACTTTAAGTGTTTGTAGCAATCGGCTTGGTCCTGAAGGAGGGAAAGCATTAGCGGAAGCTCTTCATAAAAATATCACTTTAATTAATTTAGATATTGCTGATAATGAAATTGGAGATGGTGCGAAGGCATTAGCAGAGGCTCTTTGCGTAAATACTGCATTAACGTTTTTAGATCTTACTCGTAATAAACTCATTTTCGAGGGAGTTAAAGCACTAGCAGAGGCTCTTTGTATCAACACTACTCTAACATCCTTAAGTATTGGAAATAATTCTATTGATTTTAAAGGAGTTGAGGTAATGGCACAGGCTCTTTTTACAAACAAAACCTTAACTTACTTAGATTTAAGCAATAATGACATTGGGTTTGCAGGAGGGAAAGCATTAGCAGAAGCTCTTTGTATTAACACTACTCTGACTTCTTTGGATATTAGCGATAATAATATTGGATTAGAAGGAGGAAAAATCTTAGCAAAAGCTCTCCATAAAAATAATACGTTAACCTCCTTAGATTTTTCTGATAATAATTTTGATTACGAAACTATAAAAAATATAAAAAAATTTTCTCATATAATTCTTTCATTTCGAGGGAAATATGGTATTATCACTTATTAATTAACTTGTATTATTATATATTCTTTTTAATAAACTTATATTTTTTTTAAATATGTAAAGTTGTTTGCTTACATTAATAAAATTTACTATGCTGCCGGAAATTTGAATGCTTAATTTTAAATAAACTTATTGTCACTTTCAAATTTCCATCATTTAAAAAATGACGACATGGCTTCGAAATTGTAAATTAGAGTACTTCATATTTTAATCAGTATCGGTATGATTTTATCGATCAAAAAAAAAATAATAATAATAACTCGCAACGCAAATCAAATTATTTTTATTAATTATTCTATTTAACCTCCATTACGCTTGTTGAGGATTAAACAATTGCTAAGCACTATATTACGCAATCTAAAAACCACCGGATAAAAAAGTGGTCCAATAAAACTTAATGATTTTTGCATGTACCTCGGCGAATACGACCACAACAAAAAGTACAAAGAGAATTGTTCTTACACCAAGAACAACTCCTACTTTCACAGTTTGTTTTGTTACAATACAGCCATCCTTTTTCTTTAAGCCTTGTTTAGTTTCTTGGTTGGACGTTTCATTAGTGATATTTAAGTTGTCTTAGTGGTCGGGTTAAGTTTTGTTGAGATCAGCATTTCGTAAAGAAATAAATTTCCCATTGGAATTACATTAAGTTCGGAAAATTCATCAGTATCTAAGGATTCTAATTCATTTGCTAAAGCCATGCATCCAAAATTCCAACTTGATACGAGTCGCAATTTGTTTTTTTTTGGATACATGATACTGCTCGTCTATCCATTTATAGCCTGTCAATCTCAGGAATCCGAATCTTTACAAGATCATAAATCATTTGACAGTTTTGAGTAACATGTTGATTTGCTGCCTCTCTTAATTGTGCATGCTGACTAAAACTTGCACGAGAATAATTTTCAAATGATGAATTTGATGGCATGGGCGATAAATTTTCAGCTATATTATTGTCTTCACTTGGTGTAAAATCTTCGTCATCTAAATCTATAGCATTATTATAAGCCAATGAAAGCTAATAAAATTATAAAACATATATTAATAAATTAAAGTAATTTTACTAAATATATGACATATAAAAAAATTTAATTAAATACATATGAATTCACGTTATAAATTATATTTCATTTAACCTGTTTATCCTTTCTTGTCGCTTAGAATTATATACAGAATCATTTTCCTCACCATTACTGATTACAATTACATTATCGTTATTACTATGGTTTAAAGGCTTTGAAGCTAAAATTTTATAAAATAGCTGGTGAGAATATAGATATAGTTTGAATATATAATTACTTTATTTTATTATTATTAAATTAATGCATAAATATAAATAATTGATTAAAAACAGGAGAAACAGAATATATAGTAACAGAGTGGAACAACAGAGGAGAAGAATAACATGTTAGAAGTTAGAGTTACCAGTTAAAGGAATAACACATATAATTTGATTACTTTTTAATGATTATACATTCCTTAATAACCAACTATTATTACCGTATAAGCGCGAAATAACGCACAGGGGCATTATTTTGAATAACGGCCCGAATTAGGCTTAATTTAGGTCAAATTTCGAAATTACACCCCTGCGCGTTATTTCGCGCTTATACATTTCGATTGGAGAATCAATGAACGTAAATACGAGCATAGTCGAGACAATCATTGAGTAAAATTTCAGAAATGTTAAAAAATTTCTAGCAATTCACATACCATGGTGCCGACTAAAGGAATGATCGCATTATATGTAAACTTTAACAGTATCCGTAAAATTGATTTACTTATCGCACTTCGCAAATTAGTGTACAAATCATTGTTTTGAATTCTATGAATTACCATTGTTAAAATACTGAAAACAGAAAATTGATCCTACACCGTAATTTAAAAGTTTTTTTAAAACATTGAAGTCTGAGATAAAATGTTTCTGAAACTGAAAATATTGCTTTTGATTAATTAATTTTAATTTTCGGCTAACAAAATTTTTTATAAAAAGACTTTGTTAAAAAATATTTTTTTAAATGAAAAATTTAGCTTGTCGGCCAATACAACCATACTAGTTTTGTTGATATTGAAAGTCCAAGGTTTACAATATTGCCACTATCCAATAAGTTTATCAGGTTCAGCAAATATTGTAAGATTTAAACGGACTCTTTTGACGTGGATCTTCCACGAACATGAGACTTTTTTTTTAATTTTGTAATCATAATTACGTCATAATTTTTTTTAATTTTGTAATCATAATTACGTCATAATTTTTTAACAAATTTTTTAAGGTCGTGATTTAAAACATTTGTCATCCCTAGCATACGCCGATAAGTAAAATATATAAAAAATTCCTTTATTATAATTAAACTCAATATTCCAAAACTCTATAAAATTATATCATATTTAATGATAATAACAGAATAAAAAAGCATAATATTAAAATAACAAATGTAATATAATAAATAAATAAATAACAAAATATTTGAAAAATTAGACCCTGTATACTAATATCAAAATTGCTTTAGATACAAACGTACCAAAGTTTTAGATACTAAATTTTATCTTTTAATGCCTAAATAAAAACAAACATAACCCCACCCTTTTTAAATAAATACTAGTGTAATATCAATAAATCTTCTGTACTGATGTTTTTTTCAGTGTATATAAAATCTGGATTTTGTGATGTAACAGTTTCCATTGTTTTTATGATACTATCAGCTTTCATAAATTTATTTTTAATATCAACTTCAGAAACGTAATCACCATAACGAGTCAAAAAACTAAGAATAAAATCGTAAGTATCATATCGAATTTCTTCCTCGTCATTATCTTCACTAACATCATTATCATTATATTCTTCCTCATAATCATTATGAACTTCATTAACATTATCATCATTATATTCTTCCTCGTAATTACTATATTCTTCCTCATAATCACTATGATTTTCATCATCAATATCATCATTTTGATCATCTTTGCCTCCAACAGCTTCAACATCATCATGTTTCTCATAATCACCATAATCTTCGTCATATACATCATCATTAACTTCAATTTTATCGATTTCATTAACTATATTATCCTTTTTAACTTTGTTATCGTCATCTTTAACGTTATCTATTTCATCAACTTCATCAACTTTATCTTTTTCAACTTTTTCATTCGATTTTTCATTCGATTTTATAATACTATACCATTTTTGAATTTTACAAAAAACATCTTTAGCAGTTGGCCGTTCTTGTGGATTTGAATCCATGCATTTCTCAGCCAGTCTAACATAGAAATCGGGAGTACCGACAGCAAATTCTGGTCGAAGTCCTTCCAAAATCTTAAGAAAAAGGCAATGATCATATTGCTTACCATAAAATGGTCTTTTTCCAGTTGACATTTCAGCCATGATGACGCCTAAAGCATAGACATCAGCTGCTTGTGTAGTTTGATAACCCTTCAGAACTTCAGGTGCGACATAGGGCATGATTCCATAAACTTTTTTTCCGTCAATGTTACGCTCATTTTTCTTTTTTGATAATCCTAAGTCTGAAATATAAGATCGCTCTTCTACTTTATCTTGTAAAATATTACCGTTATGAATGTCACCATGAACATAGCCTGATTTATGAATTCGACCTAAATCAAATGATATATACATAAGATGTTTCAATTTTTTTCCCATATAAGTGTTTTGAAATTTGATGCTAAATATTCACGAAGATTTCCTCCATTAGCAAACTGAAATACCATCAAGTATTTATTAGTTTTTATGTCTTGAGTTAATCCATATATTTTAAGCCCACTGCCAATTAATCTACACTGTACATGATTTTTAAACTTGTATGTTTTTAGTACATTAGTTCAATAACTGATAAATAAAATTTTATCCAATAATGATCTCAACTTACTTCTTCAATGCCAGACAAAGTTTTTAGCGCAACAAGACTTGATGGTTCTCGCGATTTAGTATATATATTATCGTCAAGATCAACTTTTCGTATGCCGTCCAACCAGGTTGCCGAATATACGACATCAAAACCTCCACAACCGATTTGCTTAATATTTTCAAATCTATCAAATTCGATCCATTCAATTACATCACTATGGCTGATAGATTTAAGCTGAAATTCTTTAATCATATAATCAATATTTATATTTCTACTTGTCCATCCACGAATCGTTAGGTATGGATCACATGTAATACACCAGGCATGAACAGTATTGTATTGTTCACAATACGTGCATTTTCCATTGATAGAATTCCTTTATAAGAATCAATATCAATAAGTATTTGCATTTTAAATTATTCAATTATATATTTATTCAAATTTTATAATTTTAAAGTAATTTATATATATATATACTTACCGACTAAAGCCAGCCGAATAAAAAATTAATTAGAGAATCACAATGTTAAATAAATATTAATATATATTTGCTTGAATATTTATTTTATACTCACACACTAAATTATAATAACATGAATGAATGAATTTAGTGCTGAAAAGCTTTCGCTACTTTAACAGGTTAATCGATAATTTTTTTTTATACTCACTCCCTAAATAATAATAACGCGAATTGCGGAATTTAGCTATGGAATGGCTTTAGTTAAATAAGTTTATTGGTAAAAGTTTTTAATACTCACAGACTAAATGTTAGTGAGGTGAATTGAAAATTTTAATATGTATAAACTGCATAGTTTGTTTAAATATATTCATTTTATACTCACCCACTAAATTAAAATAAATTGAATATATATATTTAATAAATGTATGTTTATATACTTGAATAACTTGTTAAAAAGTCTAAGGATAAATGTTCTTTACACTTACTCGCTAAATTCACATGAATGAATTGAAGGTTAAATATATCGGTGTATATTTGAGGTTTATATTATTTTTTTGACAATCATAGCATTACGTATTTACATAAATAATTGCACTATTTGATTTTACCAGATAGCGAAATTTTTAGGAACGTAACTCAATTATCCCTGACACCTAGTTTTAGCCAATACTAATTCTAGATCGGGACAACCTTAATTGTCGTGTTGAATATGTAACTTTAAGCCTATTGGTAACCGTTTTTATTAGCTAACGGACCTATCACAGTTGATGTTACTGGCGAATTTTTGTGGCTATAGCTTTCATATTATGATTTTATTATATGAATCTAACGTCTCGCACTGAAAAATGTATCATTATGCGTAGAACTAATTCAGAAGTTTTACTTCTAAACTATTCTTTTTATTTTTATTTTAGGGACTGTCTTTAATGTTATCATTATAGATAGGGGGTCTGGATTTATTGTATTCAAAATTATTGTCCCTTTTAATTAATCAGTTGTTATTTTATACATCACGTCTTGGAGTGCCTGAATCTCTGGAATATTATTCGATTAGTGCGGCGTATAGATATATATAATATAACCATAATTTGAATCCGCAATCACGAATTCTCTAGTAAGCCTATTACCTTATATAGCCATCTCCCATATAATCACGTTATAAATAATTACTTAGTATATATGATTTAAAGCCTCTATATTAGTACAGCTCTTTATAAGAACATTTTTAAAACTTACTGTGTGTTCAGCTGCGTGATTATGTTGTGCTTTAAGCTAACATCTGATTGTCGTTACAACTTCAAGCGCATGAACTTAACATTTGCTTGGAGTTATAATTTTAAAAGATGCCAATTTCAAAGCAAAACAATTATATGGGTGGATGACTGTAGCAAAAACGGTTTGAAAAAAAGGCTATAACATATATAAATGTAAATGTCTATTGATAAATGTACTTTATACTTACAAGCTAGATTAACACAAATGAAAAGTTTATTTAATTTTAGTACTAAATAACATAATTAAATAAGTATCCAATAATGGTTTTTTATACACACCAACTAAATCAACGCCATAAAGGGATTATTTTATAACGCATTTTAAATATATCTATTGATGCAATAAATTTTATTTATACTCACGCTCTAGATTATGGCATTCGATTGAAAAAATTGATGTTAAATTTGAGTGGCTTATTTTTGATGTTAAATTTGAGTGGCTTATTTTTAACATGGTTATTGATAAATTTTTTATACTCACTTACTAAATTTTAATGTGCAAAAAAATGTATATAAATTTGATCAGCTTTAAATATATTTATTGATAAATCTTTTTATACTTACTCGCTAAATTATGATTATACAAGTAAAAAGATCATATAGTGTTAAAATATATAAACTTAAAGTTACTTATTTTGAATATGGGTGCTATTTTTGATTATGAGCCAAAAGCTTTTTACATTATTAATTATCAATATGGTTAAGCCTCGAATTGAAACCATAATTATTCACTTCGATTCATGATCAAAAATTATTACCATATGTTGTCAAATAAAAGCAGCCACAGAATAAAGCAGCTTAACTTTGAAAAAGGTGATTTACTGTTTTGCTTCTTTTGGTAGCATATGGTACCCACATTTTTATTATTGATAAACAACTTTTATACTTACAAACTAAAATGCCATAAATAAATTTAATGTCAATTTAAACGTTTAATTACTCATTTAAAATAAATTCATTGATAAAAATTCTTTGTACTCACCGGCTAAATAAATCACAAAGATGGTTTAATTTTAATTAAATGTGAATGAATTATCATTTATCGTCAGTAATGAGCACCATTATCCCTGTTGATTTCCTAAATATAAATAAACGTTTTGATACTCACTCACTAAATTATAACAGCAGGTATGAAATAAGTGAGTTTAAAGAATTGAACAATGTAAAATTCTGGATAGCTTATTTTAAATTAAGCTCATTAACAAATGTTATTATGTATACTCACTAACTAAATTATGTAAGCAATCGAAAAAATGGGTTATTTTAAATATATATAAAATTGAATGACTGATTTTAGATAGTATTAATAAATATTATTTATACTCACGAACTAAATTACGACAATTTGAATTAAATAGAAAATTTTGTTCAATTTATATACAAACACAAATTGCTTACTTCAAATACATTTGTTAATAAATATTCTTTATACTCACTCGCTAAATAACAATAATGCGAACGTTTAATGTTGAATACTGTAGATGGCTTATTTAAATTACTTTTTATACTCACTGACTAAATAATATTAATGTAACATAAAAATTAATATAAACTCGGATAGCTTATTTTATACTGGCAATCATAATGATGCACACATGTTAATTTTTATAATAGAAAATAGCAATTATTAAAATTTCACTTTATAATAAATTTTTTAACAAAATTTTTAAAATTTTTATGACCAAGTCAAAAGGCTAGCAAAAAAAATTTAAAAGTAATACTTATAAAGTTTTTTACTGCCTTTTTTTCATTATAAAGTGAAAGCTAATAGTTCCCGTATTTTATTAAATTGACATGTGTTGCGTTATTTATGATTTAAGCTTAAATATATTTCTTTGATAAATGTTGTTATACTTACAATCTGAATTAACACGAATAAAATGAATTGAAAAGTTGAATTATTTATGCTAAGACGTTTTATATTTAAATACTATTTATATTTATGCTTACAACCTAAATTAATGTGTATTAATATCTTGCTTGATGTTAAATATACATAAATATTGTATGCTTATTGATAAATGTTTTTTGTACTTACATACTAAATTAGGGCGAAAAAATAAATTAAAATGGTTATTTTAAATATTACGGTATATTTAATCATATTATTTAAAAACGCAAATTTGCGATTGATGCGGAAATTCGTGAATGAATTTAAAGATGCTCGATCTCAAAATTTATTAATGAGCTTCGCAAATTTCTATAAGCAAAGTCATTCAGCGAATTAATCCGGTCGTAATGGTTGTTAAATCATCAATATTGGTCCAATATTGCAGAAATAGTTAATCGAGAATTTCGAATTTCTTATTTATGCGCGTTGGTTGAAAAGTCGCAAATTTTCGATTAAATTATCTCCGCGAATGTTGGACCATTTGATAACTAACTACCATTGTACAGAATAGCTCGATGAACAAATTTACTTATTGAAAGTTTACGAACTGAATTGATTTATTTTTTGGATATCTTTGCAGTTTTAATTTTTTTTCGCAAATTTTCTGCAAATTTGTGTTTTTTAAATTTTCTGATGATATATTAAATATTTAAATATTCTTTTTACTTACTCACTAAATTATGAAGCCAAATGAAATAAATTGAAAGGATTTTTTA